AATATTTCAATTTGATCAAACTGAAATATTTATAAGTGGATGAAGTTGTCAGTACTAAATGAAATTCCCAGACAGTACCTTAGATATCATAACAAATATAAACTAAGTATATTTTCAATCAAGGAGTTGAAATATTTAGTAAGAATACAATTTTTAAATATCTTCTTAAAATTATTTCAGTACATTATGCAGGTAAAGATGTGTGAAAATGCAGACTGTAAGCGTACTAGAGTGATGAGGTAGAAAGTAACTCCTGTTTGGTGAAACTTTTAAAATGACACCTAGTTATTACTAAACTAGTATTTGGAAGAAAGCTAGCTGCAAGAGAGAGATGATGAAAGCTTTGGTTAATTATGATGGTTAGAAGTATAGTTTGGCATGTTAACCCAAGCCAGCTCATGTTTGTAGAAACAAGTCTGCAGTGTTGACTCCATTTCTTTCCTATTGGAAGCAAACACAGTTTCTATAACAATCAGAAATTATGATTGATACTGGTTCTGGGTTGAAGGATAAGTTATGTTGGCCATTGTCACAGGAATGGAAATGGGGACAGCACAGCTATAAAATAAATATCAAGTGGAGACCCAATGAAGCTTATAGTTATAAGTCCAACCAAGATGTTCACAAGGATTATGGATGAATAGGTGGTGATCACATGCAAGGCTCATAGAAAAGTTGCTTACTGAAGGTAATCTGTTAACTATTCTTTGTCTTTAAACATAGTTTTAGAGAATAGTATGTTTGTAACTGAACAATTATGATCTTTATAGCCTACACATGGCTGAACTTCTGATCAATCAGCCTTACATTTTTAATCCAGACTTTTGCTAGGTAAGATCAAATTCTTGACATCTGACTATCTTGTTCTTCAAGTAGCCAGAGTACCATTTTCTTTTACATGAAGGCTTTCAAGATAAGCAGCCATGGATGGATACATGCCATTCAATGAAATTGAGGAATACCTTGAAGTATCAAAAACATCATGGATCTTTTTGCCTAAGTGCAGCTCACTTCAAGCCTGTAAAGGAGGGTATTTTACTGGCAGGATCCTTCAATATGCTGATTTCATCTGACACTGCAGTAAGCCATGGAAGGTAAATATATGGAGGAAAAGTGATGACAGTTTTAGGAACTTCAGGCTAGGACCTGACAGACTATAAAAAGTATCTTACACTGACACCAAGGTTATTGTTTGTCTTGTATTGTTGATTTTAGTATGTTGTATTTTCTTCAGTGTTAAAGGATTGTGTTTATGCTGCTTCTTTTATTTTATTTTATACATAGCACTGAAAGGTATTTTTGTGATGTGTGGCTATGCTCTATGTTGATTATCATTCAGTGTTAAAGAATGTTTTGATGATTATGACTTGGTTATTTATGCATGTGTATTAAAATGGTAATTTTGTTCTTTTATACTGTAATTTTGTATTATGATTGAGTGATTGAATTAATTTTGATATTGAAGAATTTATTTGCATTTTAACTTATTGTTAAAGGGTATTTACCACGTATTAATGTGCACCTGAATCTATTATAAAGTTTTATTATGTATCATTTTTTTATTGTTTCATGTAAGTGCTCACAAGAGCAAGTGAAAGTTGCAGTACACCTTAACCAGGTTGCATGCATAGAGTTTATTGGTTTGAAAATTAATTGTCAGCTTAAGGACAAATTTGAAGTAAGGAAGAGAGGAAAAGTGTGGTTTTTAAACATAATTGTACTTTTCTATCTTCTTATATTAATATAGTATAATTTTTATATTGTCAATTATATCTGAATATATGCAGCTTACATGTAACATGTGGCTAAGAAATGTGTTATGTTGGTTTCATTCGAGCTACATTTATTACTTTGTCATTTTATTGAGATCATACTTTTATGTTTTTTAAGAATGTAGACAGCAGTGTTGTTCAATGCTCAATCAGATGATATCATGAGGTTATGGCCTTCCTTCTGCTTGAATGTGAATGACCAACCATATGGGTAACTAGTTCTTAGAAATAAGAACATTATAATCTTAAAAATTGTACATCATTTCATAAAACAATCCATAAAAACTATGTTCAAAGAAGTTTTGTTTTTAAAACATAGCTTCGTTTTAATATATATTTTCACTTCTACTTTATATGAAATATTTCATTAAGCCACTTTAACTGTGTACTCATAATTATGTATATGAATAGCAAAAATTTTGGTAACAAGCTTGCCATCAAACTGTTTAATATAATTATATGAACCAAATCCCCAATTAAATCTAGAAATCTGACAAATGTAAGTTAGAATTCATATTTTTAACACTAGTAATTACACAAAATACTCAATACATCAGTGTTTTCTTTTGGATTTAAATTAAAAACAACCAAAAATTTCCTAATAGTCAGTTCTAAATCTACTGCAAATCTCATCTCTTGATATGTAGAAACAATATTAGATTTCATAGTTTTTTATGTTTTTTTTTGTAAGAAACACAAAGCTACTCAATGGACTATCTGTGCTCTGCCTACCACGATTTCATAGAAGAAAATATGCTTCACAAGGAAATCTACTAGAATGTTTTTTTCCTCATTCAAGATGAGTTAAATTGTAAACAAAAGATCACAAGCTATTCAACAGGCCAATCTTTCTGTTCAGTTGCCATAATATTTGCGAAACACTCATACACACACACACATATATGTGTGTGTGTGTGTGTGTGTGTGTATTACCTAAATGTATCATTATCTTAAATTAATATTAAAAACATTGCATGTAGAGTTGTTATACTCTACACCTGTCTGAGTATATGTTTGCTACAGTGTGAAATAAGATATCGTAAGGTAAATTTTGAAGGTACAGTAATATGAATGATTAGGACCAATATAAAGCACAAGCACCAACCTCAACATTAGTAATACACAATATCTCTACAAAAATTAAAATAATAATAAACTATACTTCTAAAAAGTAAAGCAATAATAATGTTACGTTGCCGTTTGTTAGTTGATTTTCCGTAACTTCGTTCCCACGAAACTTTAGCGACACAAGTTCTTTCTTAATAAAACTGGTTTATTCTTTCTGAATACTACTTTACAATACACTTATTTTCAACAGTCGCG